CAGAAACATGTAATAAAGAGTAAAAAGGAATGCCAGGTACAGCAGACTCACACATATAATCCAAGCTTACTTTGGGAGGCACAGGCCAGCAGATTGCTTGAGGCCAGGAGATTAAGACCAGCCTGAGCAACAAAGTGAGATCCCATCTCTACGCCCCCAAGTCTCTTCGAAGCACAATGGAGTGAACTGCAATAACACGAGGCATGCCTGAATTTGGTTATGCGCTTTTTATTCATGTGCTTTTTATTTTCTTTCTTGCTGTTTGTTGTACCCATGAAAATAAAGCAGAAATAAAGAATAAATTCCACAGTTAAAAACTATGTAAACAGCATACGTATGTTTATTGAAGCACTATTCACAACAGCAAAGACTTGAACTAACCCAAATGTCCACCAATGATAGACTGGATTAAGAAAATGTGGCACATATACACTATGGAATACTACGTAGCCATAAAAAAGGATGAGTTCATGTCCTTTGCAGCGACATGGATGAAGCTGGAAACCATCATTCTCAGCAAACTATCAAAAGGACAGAAAACCAAACACTGCATGTTCTCACTCATAGGTGGGAACTGAACAATGAGATCACCTGGACTCTAGAAGGGGAACATCACACACTGGGCTCTGTTGGGGGGTGGGGGGCTAGGGGAGGGACAGCATTAGGAGAAATACCTAATGTAGATGACAGGTTGATGGGTGCAGCAAACCAACATGGTACATGTATACCTATGTAACAAACCTGCATGTTGTACACAAGTACCCTAGAACTTAAAGTATAATTTACAAAAAAAGAAAAAACTTAGATGACGGGTTGATGGGTGCAGCAAACCACCAAGGCACCTGTGTACCTATGTAACAAACCTGCACGTTCAGCACATGTATCCCAGAACTTAAAGGAAAATAAAATAGAAAGTTAAATAAATGGTTTAAAAAAAAAACCCAAAACTATGTAAACAGTGACATCAAGAACATGACAAATCAAGTGAGAAACTAAATGAGAGAGACACCACATAAAATCCTTACGCTAATATTGGCAAATAAATAGATGATTCTGAACGTCTTAATGGTAATCATACAAGAAAGCACAGTAGAGATTTTTATGGTCAGACCTTTGATATTATTTCTTTTATCAGCCAGCACTAAAATGTTGGGATATATACCCTCACCCTAAGGGATAAACAAACTTCTAGAGCAAGAATAATCATTATCAGGTTGACACTAGCTCTCACAACCAGATAAAATTCAGGCAAGATAGCCAAGGCCTATAAAACTGCCAAAACTTAGTAAGAAGATGGCTATTGCCTTTTATTACAGGTCTGGGTTTCCAAGATGCTCTAGTAGCATAAATTATACCAATTATTTTTCTAACTCCCTGTCAGAGGGAATTTACATGGAAGTCTTCAGAAATTAGGTAACACAAACAATGTTTAGCTCTTTGGAAAGAATGACAATTTGCTTGATTTTATGTACTTCTTTGCCTGTATGTAAACTCTTAGTTCATCTTAAAAGTCATAACCCACCAAGAACACCCTAGGCAGAATTTGGCACTAATTAAAACTTATTTTGCTGTGCTTAACATTCCTACCAAGTGAAACCTCCCCACGCCTAATCCAAAACCAAACCCCACCACTACCAAATCTGTTCTAACCATACGTAAATGACTAACACGTAACCGCGCCAAGTTTGTACAGTAGGAATTATCCTGTACTGCTAACCTATAATGTTATAATTACTTTAAAAATTAGATATAGCTAAGTATATGCTTCCTTTAATAATTACTCCTACAGACCTGGTGGCCATAATTGGTTAGAATACTATAGACAGAAGCCACTGTGTCCATGCTACAGATACCAGCCTAGTCTGCTTTTTTGTATCATTAGTTATGTATTTTCTAACTTGCATTTGAAAAAACAATCAACCCTCAATGACCTTGGTATTTGAATGCAATCTGTTCTTCCTTTTTCTTCTCTTCTCTACCATGTTACAAAAGCCAGAGACAAAATTACTCATTTACCAAACCACTTTTAAACTTCTTAATCTGAAAATAAAATTTGGCTGAGAGACTTTGTAGCAGATAACTATTTTTAAAGTTATTAATTGAAACCAAAGCGTTGTAGACATATGTTACTTACCACTCAGTGTTTTAGATCTAATTGGAGGTAATCCCTTTTTCTGCCTTTCTTTTTCCCTTTCTCTGGCTCTCCTTTCACTTGAATACGACCGTGATGATTTCCTCTTTCTTTCTCTTGAGCGGGAGCGTGATCGCTTTCTGTGTTTACGCTTTCTAGAGCCAGACCGTGACCTAGACCTTCGTTTTCTTGGTGATCTACAAAAAATTTTTATTTTACTTCTAATGACAATGTTTTCTTTCTATCAAATCTCTCACTCCTAAGTGAGGGAAAAAAACCCAACAAACAACAACAAAAAAGTTGTCTTATATTTAGTGACAATATCTTAAAATATTCTGAAGTACAATCAAGTCTCAAAAATGCATTTTACTTAAATCCGTGTACTGCTTAGATCCATATTAGTTGGCAGTGATTCTGACTATGGGTGACTATTCACAATGAAGAAGAAAAAAGATTTTAGAAAGGACCTTACTTTCTCTTAGTATACTGCAACTCAATTTTTCAAACAGAACAGGAATGAAAGACCAAAGAAAACTGAAAGACCATTTAAGTGACAGAGCATTAGGCCACTACATAATTCTGCTTAGTAGTTTCCAACCTATAAAATTTTATGGTGCTTGTAGAAGGTGACACTGAAACACTTTCTTTTTTGCCTGTCAACCACATGCCATTGAGCTCTCTTCAAAATGCTTAGTAAGATGCTGCTAATGACAAAGATAACTTCAGCATTAAGATTGTTACTGCTTCAGGAAAATAATTTAGTGATACGAGGTGGGTCTAGAGAAAGTTGAACTGACAGGCTCTCATTTGCAGTAGATAAATATAAAGAACTTTGTGACAAGAACAAGAAATGAGTGAAAAACTCATCAAACGTATTGCCCCTCTCCCAGTATTTACTGTTCAGATTTTCAGGGGCATTCAGATGCAAAAAAATAGGATACAAAAACGTTAAAGACTGATGCCTTTAAGTTAAACTCATGAAGAAAACTATGTTTTATAATGGTTTGGTATTATAATGTTTATAAAAAGAAATTTTGTAGTTTTATTTTTATAACCATTTTGGGTATCATTGTGAGATGAAATGGAATCCAGGAAATATGGCCTGATTTAACTGTTGTTCAGGGGCAACAATATTCTCAGTTGGGTGTCATCATAATATTAACTAAAATAAAATATAACTCAAAATCCCAGTCTCATGATATGGCTGCCAATCTTATGTAAATTACTGAAATAAATGGCCAGATATACCAATTAAAACAGAACAAAGATTGTCTTTGGAATAACTTTTTTTCTGAGAGACTGTGAAAAAATACGTCATCCCAAGGAAAACATTTCCTTTCATCCTGATGCAAAGAAATAAAGCCAACATTTTAAAGTTCATACAGAGCTATTATTAAGTATCATTGTAGAACCTTGAACGAGATCGTGAATGTGTTCTTGATCTTGAGCGAACTGCCACTTTCTTAGCTTCTTGTTCAAAGACCTCCTCTTCCACCCCATCTTGCCCTTCATCTATATCCATATCCTTGAAAGTCAAAAGAACAGCAAACAAACAGAAAGGCTGGTTGAGACAGAGTTATACACTGACAATTCTGTTTTTAAAAATATTCACAATAGAAGCATTAATGCCTAATACGGGGTGTCCAATCTTTTGGTTTCCCTGGGCCCCATTAGAAGAAGAAATGTCTTTGGCCACACGTAAAATATACTAACACTAATGACAGCTCACGAGCTTTAAAAAACAAACAAACAAACAAAATCTCGCATGTTTTAAGAAAGTTTAATTTGTGTTGGGCTGCATTCGAAGCAGTTCTGGGCCACGTGCTTGGCCTAGTGGCCACGCTTAGGCCTTAGACAAGCTTGCACTAATAAGTGAAACAATTACAAAGTGGAGCTTAAGCATGGGGAAAATATATTCAGGGCACTGCTAGTATAAAATATTTTATATGATTTCTTTAGCTACTTTTAGATATTTATGACCCAGAAAAGCATTTACTTTTACCTGCTGCTGAATATCTATGGAATCATCCAAATTGACTTCAGGTTCAAGAAAATGCTGCTGACTACTCCCTTGTGATGGTGATGCTGAATGCTCTGACCCAAATGTTCCTTCCTGACTATCCTGAGGAGTGGCCTATTGAGAACATACACAAACACACGAAGATTGGGAGATACTTTTTGTTATGAAAGAAAATGTAAACACAGCAAATATCACAATTACATGTTTAAAAAGAAGCGCCATACATACAAGAAATTCCATGTTAAATCATTTATAAAGTAATCAATCCAAAATTAAACATTTGTATAAACTCAAGTTTATGTAAAAGCAGGGAACAGCTCCATAAAAGGAAGAGACTAAAATATTAAAATGGTAAAATCAAATAAATTTTTAATTGTGAAAATATAAACTACAGAGGACTAATAAAGAAATTATAGCATGAAAAATATATAATGGCAGTCAGTTAAATGAATCTAGGTTTTCGCTGATAATTGGCATTAATAAAAAATGCTATAAAGAAAAAACAGGCTGGGCACGGTGGCTCACACCAGTAATCCCAGTACTTTGGGAGGCTGAGGTGGGTGGATCACGAGGTCAGGAGTTCAAGACCAGCCTAGCCAAGATGGTGAAACCCGTCTCCACTAAAAGTACAGAAAAATTAGCAGGGCATGGTGGTGGGTGCTTGTAATGCCAGCTACTCAGAAGGCTGAGGCAGAGAAGTGCTTGAACCTGGGAGGCGGAGGTAGCAGTGAGCCAAGATCTGCATTCTAAATCTGTCATAGGTTTTATACTATCTACCTTAAGAAAACAGTTATAGTTTTCTTGTTACCACTCTCTTTTCTTCATTAGATTCATTTTTGAACAATGAGGTTTTTCAGAACTTCTATTCCTTTCAAAGGCATCTTATTACTGCAAGCTGTGAAATTTTGGAACAACATATAAAGTAATTAAGCCCAGAGTTCTTTTTCGGTAGGTGAGATTCTTAAGACAGACTTGCTCTCTCTCAAGTTTATTTTTACCTCAATAACATGGTGTTAATTACAAGCTAATCAAGATACTTGATTCTGCTAACAGAGAGACCATTAAAAAAAAAAAAAGTACTACCATGATTTCAGTGCTTCTGCTAAACCTTCTAAAATAAAACTATGACTAAAGCAATTCAAAAACTGTTACATTTATAGCTCAACGAATCTGTTGTTTGGATAAATTCTTCCATCACGACTATCCCCTGCCTCTCTTAACAGTTCTGTGATTTTTGTATTATTATATCACTGATGACCTGTTTGTTTTGAGTTACAACTTTGCTTTTTCTTTAAACAACAGGTAAATGTTCTTAATTGTGTTCTATCTTCAACTTCTGGGTTCTCAGGCAGATATATTTGCTTGACATAAAATACTGCCCCTACTCTGGCCACTTATACCAGAATTGTTTCCTCAAAAAAAGGTATGAAATTCCATTCTCATAATTCGAGGCATGAGTCCCAACGCAGCAAATATCATTAACATCCATTTTATATTACTGTTTGCATTAAAAGGTCAAGTTCAGACCCCAATGTCTCAAGTTTGCTATCATCTTCTCCATCTAAAATAACTGTTCCCTCCTCCATGCTCCCAGAATCCTTCACTTGTCCCATGACAAAAATAAAGAATTCTGCCAGGTGTTCACACAGATGTATGTGCTCCATTAGAGAAGAGGTTACCTGATGCCACAACCTCATTTCTGTTCATCTTTGTATGTATCACTTGTCTAACAAGTGACATACACTTAAAAAAATTTTGTGATATTTTTGTTAAACTCATTAATGCCAAACTTTTTTAATATTAGGAAGAAGTATGCTGGGGAGGGAGAGGGGGTTTCCTAATACTTTTATTCTGAACAGTTTACATGCGTAACTATTTCTCACGTACAGCAGAAAAAGGATTTGTAATAAATTTAATACTGGCTCTACAACTTAACATATTTTGTCAATTCTAAAATACAACATTTTGTCAATGATTATCAAATTTGTAAGATAAACTTAAAGGATCCTTACAACTCAAAAGGATGTTACATTTAGTTATTGATGTCTTAAAATTCTTAGCTATGCATAAAATAACAGCACGTTTTAAGTCAGATAATATATAACATTAGCTGTAAACTGCTGCATGAGATGTTTAATCTCACCCAGCTTCAACTTCCTCTGGAATACAATCAACTTCCTCTGGAATAAAATGGGAGTCATAATGCCCATCTCCTGAGGGTTAAACGTATCCAAGCCTACCACATACCTAATAAAGCTCCTGCTACATGCTAACAGCAATTACGTTTTAAAAATTAAAGATAATCTACATGGCCATCATCATTGTCACCAATAACATAACCATCAACTTGCTTGATAGGGAACAGAGAGAAAAACACGTTAAGTTTTAAGTGGTAATTCTGAAACCCCCTCCATCCTATTCTCTACTTCCAGTATACTGAAATTAACTTCTACAATGAAGATTCATAAGTTACCAGAACATAATTTGATTATAGAAAAAACCATAAAGGTCCTGAAAAAAATAGATCTTACTAACAATAGTTGAAAAAATATCACCATAACAAACTTTAGAAAGAAAGAAAGTAGCTGGTAAAAGCTAAATAGCTGAGAAAATATTCTATTAAGACCAATTAAAAAAAAAAAGCCAACCAACAAAAATGCCAATTTATAGAATATAAATAGCAATAACTCTAAAGACCACAAGATGGGGTTATAAACCTTTTGAGGCTGTTGCTGCTCCAAGAGCTGCTGTCTGAGATGTTCTAGGTTTTGCTGTTGTAGTTGTTCTGCTATCTGATGAAAAATGGAATTGTTCACAGATTCTGAAACGTGAGAACTAAAAGGAAAAACAGGTAGAAACATATTTTGAAACCCACTGAAGATACTATGAAAATAACAGAGTATTCAAAGAAAACAAAAAAGTCAATTCAATAAAACATATTCTACTGCATTTTTCTTTTGCAATTTTAATACTAAAAGTACAATACTTGAGAACATTAATACATTAAAAGAAAAATACATTCTTCAATTGTATATCAATAGATGGATAATGTGTCAGAGATGCTCTGCTGAAGATCTGATATTACCATCTCATGCTATTAAATACATGTAAATTACTGCTTTTTCATTAGAGCATATTAAGAAAACCTCAATAAAATATTTACATAAAGTTTAAATATTTAAACATTGTTACTTTAACTCCTTCTCTTACTATGAGATAGAAAAATAGTCTATCAATCAGTATGTGTGAAATCTACCATTGTAATTGACCATAAAATTTATAAAACTAATATTCTTCCTTTAGAAAACCATATACATTATTAGGTATGTTAACAGAGGTAGACACTGTTTAAATAAGAAAAAATAATAGTTTAACTATATTCTCGGAAATTCACACCTGGTATACACCTGGGATTCTGGGTGCCACAAGGTAAGACATTAACAATAAAGAGGGCATCCCAAAAGAGCCAAACAGGATGGTGAGAAGTCTTGAAACAGTTGGAAAAAAGTGCACTTCATCTGGAGCAAATAAACCTAAGGGGAAGAATGATACCTATCTTCAAATAATGAAAAGCTACATCTCTAAAGATAGCGGAGTAAATTTGTTTCCTTGCTTCAGAGAGCAAAACGTGGGTCAGTGTGTATTAACAGAAAATAAAGGAAACAGGATTCAGTTCGACAAAAGAATACACAATAACAATTAGTTAACTTCTCATCACAGAAAGCATTAAAATAGTGGATAATAAACTGTACCACCAGGACTGTTAAAGGAGATTCTTACATTGTTTAGGACACTGATCAACATGATTTCAAATGCTGCTTCCAACTTTGCAATTCACATAATCTAAAATCTAGGTTTTAAATTTTGTCAAGGGGAATCATTTTACTAAAATGATACATTTGTATTTAACATATATTAAAATTGTATGTTTTTGTATATTACCCCAATATATACAACTAAGAACTTCTGTTTAAAACAACAGACCCACAGACTTTCACCATTCATCCTTCCTCCATTCTCCCAACTTCTACCACCGCCCCCTCCAACATCTCCCCGCTACTAGTCCATTCACATACCCTCACAGAACTTTGGGCACTGCAGAATTGTTTAGGGAAAAAAAGTAACTGATTTAATAAAAACATACAACACATTTCTTTACCCAAAAAAAAAAAATCCTTATAACTCCAATCCTTAATTCTGATTAGGTTGATGTGTTCCCACAATTTCATATGCTTTCTAGAAGTCGCCTTTGGCACTATAAGCAAGCTTCATTCCTAGTATTCCAACTACTCTTACAATTAAGTTAAATAACTTAAAGCCTAATACAGAAAATATTACAACCAGATTTACCAATGTGTATCAATGTTCTTATAGGGAACTTTGATATAGTCTATTTGCAAAGATCTGAGAAAAGACTCAAAATAATACAAAGAGACAACAAGACATATCTCTACCCCCATTGTATAATGTTAGAGGTTCAACAGCTTGAGATGATAACCCCCAACTTACTAAGTACACTTAGTAATTCAGATGGCAACATCCCACCCAATATAAAACCTATGGCTATAAAGAAAAAAATTCTTACAGTTGTGAAGTTGGAATTTCTTTTTTGGGTTCTTCACTATGCTCAGAATCTTCCCCAAAATCAAACCTATCCATCAACTTCTGGGGAAAGAAGGAGAAACGGGCGTATTAAAAAGTGCTTCACACAAATATAAGTTATAAATGCTATTTTAAATGTCAATGGCATTCCATTATCTCTATCATTTAATATGTAAATACAAGTTTTGTATCACTCTATACTATTATAAACTGTTTTGAGATCTTTTCTTTAAAGCATTTTGATATGCATTATCTTATGTAACAAAACAAATTATGATAGAGGCAGGATAAACACTAATACTCAAATTTTACAGAAGACTAAGGATTAACATAATTAGGTGGTTTTCCCACAGTAATAAGCTTGATAAAACATCTAGGGCCATAATCAATGGATCTATTCCTAGTATGGTTCTCATCTTAGAATGCTGTTATTCTTCTGAATGCTCAATTTAAAGGCTTTTTATGTAGTCTAGCTATTTAGTGTTAGACTAAATTAGACTTGGAAGCTGCTGGCCATAAACGTCTAAGTAATAATCCAATAAATCAGTATTTACTTTCCTATAAAAATAAAAGTACCAATTTTAAAAATATGAACACCACTTCCAAGTAGTATGATACTCCCATAATTAATAAGCATACTAAGAATATCACACACTAAATTATACATGAAAGATTTTAAGTTTTAGAAACACTATTTTTTACATTTAGGCATCAATTTATTATAGTTATAGTATAGCGACTAACTGTAGAGAAGTTTTCCTTTAAACATTTTACTTATTGATTACAGAATTTTAATTTTTGCAGGTCCAAATTACAGAACACAGAGCATTATAGTAAAATGTGGCATCCATGAAAGAAATCAGACAAGTTCAGAAAATAATCACTTGCCTCAACGGTGAATACCAGATTTTACTGACTAGTTATTTTTAGTCAAATGAAAATATTTTAAATGTTTCAAGAAAAAAAAAAAAAATTTTTTTTTTGTTTTTTTTAAGGCAAGAGTCTTGCTCTGTCACCCAAGCTGGAGCATACTGGCTCAATCTCGGCTCACTGCAACCTCTACCTCCCAGGTTCAAGCAATTCTCCTGCCTCAGCCTCCCTAGTAGCTGGGATTATAGGCATGCACCATCTGGCTAATTTGGGTTTCACCATGTTTGCCAGGCTGGTCTCAAACTCCTGGCCTTAAATGATCCGCCTGCCTTGCCCTTCCAAAGGGCTGGGATTACAGGTGTGAGCCACTGTGCCTGGCCTAAGAAAAATTTTTTTAATTACTTAATTTTTTCAGAAGTTTGAACCTTTTGTGAAATTCAGACTGTCTTACACAGTGTACAGGGGATATTAAAAGTCTATAATAAAATTTACTTATAGAATTAAAATTCATACGCTAGTATATATTTAATAATTCATATAGACTTGATCTGATATTTTAATTTCTACCTTGTTAAAGGAGACTCCCTGTTCTAAGGGAGTAAGAGTGTTGGCAGCCGCAGCTGCAGCTGTAAGTTGTGCCGTAAGAGCTTGCAACTGAACAACAAGACCAGCATCTAGGGCCTGCAGAATGGAAGGCTGGGGCTTCTGTTGTTGTATCTGTAAGGTTTGTATTAATTGTTGAAGCTGGAGAGAAAAAAAAGTATATTACAAAACAGGTGCTGGGTTTTTTCTGTAAGAGTGACCACCTAAAAGTTTTTAGTCAGTAAAATTAATAATTCCACACTCTCTTTGAAAAAAATACATACTATTAATAAGTTAATTTTTCTGAAGTTTTTTTGTGTACCTTATATAACACAGTTCTTAATAAGTTTGTCTTACTTCTGGAAAGTCAGGGAATTTTAAACAAAATAAAGGGATCTGTGACAACCAGATAAAGAACTCATCACAAGCTGACACATTTTTCACTAAACTTCTCAACCTTGTTCAATCAACTCTTTAAACTCAGTAAAAGGATGAGTACTGAAAATAGCAGCAGCTTTTGCTATTATTCAGAATTACCATCTGAGCACGTATTTCCTGAAAGCTGGAGAGTCATTAAGAAATCTGTTTCTCAGAGTAGAGTCTGGCAACTAGTTATTAATAATAAAGCGTCACCTAGAGTTGAAGGCAACTCTTGTTCCCACTATGTACCCAACCCTGTTAAAAAACAGACACAACAGTAAGATCATTAAGAGATTCCCTAAGTAAGAAAATCCTATATACATCCCAGAAGTAAATGATAATCAATCTGGTTATAAGCCTGAGTTAAATCCAAAAATCATTAGTTTAAAAGAGAAAAATAAAGACAGCAAAGCTACTGATAACCAAGACAACTGTACTCTTGAAGTTCAACTTCTAGGAGGAGAAGACACAAAAACTATGTAAGATGACATGGAAGTACTTTCATGCCTACTTAGTAACATTAGGAAACAAACTAGTCACTTCACTATCAACTAAACATTTTCTTTTCTTTTTTTTTTATTTGTATTGTAAGATTTATTGCACTTTCTGCACTGTTTGGGGTGTGTGTGTAGGGTTTCTCTGTAGCTTACTAGGGTGAGATTATTCCTTGAGGACTGTTTCATACATCCATGTGAAGAGATCACCAAACAGGCTTTGTGTGAGCAACATGGTTGTTTATTTCACCTGGGTGCAGGCGGGCTGAGTCGGAAAAAGGAGTCAGCAAAAGGTGGTGGGATTATCATTGGTTCTTATAGATTTTGGGTGAAGTTAAGAGCCATGTATTGGGGGCAGGGGGTGAAACATGTACTCACCAAGTGCATTCTCAAGGGTGGAGAGAATTACAAAGAAACTTCTTTTAAAATATATATATATATATATACTATAAGTTCTAGGGTACATGTGCACAATGTGCAGGTTTGTTACATATGTATACATGTGGCATGTTGGTGTGCTGCACCCATTAACTGGTCATTTACATTAGGTATATCTTCTAATGTTATCCCTCCCCCCTCTCCACTCCCCACAATAGGTGCCGGTGTGTGATGCTCCCCTTCCTGTATCCAAGTGATCTCATTGTTCAATTCCCACCTATGAGTGAGAACATGCGGTGTTTGGTTTTCTGTTCTTGCGATAGTTTGCTGAGAATGATGGTTTCCAGCTGCATCCATGTCCCTACAAAGGACACAAACTCATCCTTTTTTATGGGTGCATAGTATTCCATGGTGTATATGTGCCACATTTTCTTAATCCAGTCTGTCACTGATGGACATTTGGGTTGATTCCAAGTCTTTGCTATTGTGAATAGTGCCACAATAAACATATGTGTGCATGTGTCTTTATCGCAGCATGATTTATAATCCTTTGGGTATATACACAGTAATGGGATGGCTGGGTCAAATGGTATTTCTAGTTCTAGATCTTTGAGGAATCGCCACACTGTTTTCCACAATGGTTGAACTAGTTTACAGTCCCAACAACAGTGTAAAAGTGTTCCTATTTCTCCACATCCTCTCCAGCACCTGTTGTTCCCTGATTTTTTAATGATTGCCATTCTAACTGGTGTGAGATGGTATCTCATTGTGGTTTTGATTTGCATTTCTCTGATGGCCACTGATGAGCATTTTTTTCATGTGTCTGTTGACTGCATGAATGTCGTCTTTTGAGAAGTGTCTGTTCATATCCTTTGCCCACTTTTTGATGGGGTTGTTTGCTTTTTTCTGTGATTTGTTGAGGTTTCTTTGTAGGTCTGGATAGTTGCCCTTTGTCGCAGATGGTAGATTGCAAAAATGTTCTCCCATTCTGTAGGTTTGCCTGATTCACTCTGATGGTAGTTTCTTTTGCTGTGCAGAAGCTCTTTAGTTTAATTAGATCCCATTGTCAATTTGGCTTTTGCTGCCATTGTTTTGGTGTTTTAGACACTGAAGTCCTTCCCATGTTATGTCCTGAATGCTCGGTATCTACCTAGGTTTTCTTCTAGTGGTCATATTTATGGTATTTTTTTCGGTCTAACATTTACGTTCGTAATCCATCTTGAATTAATTTTCCTATAAGGAGTAAGGTGAAGGATCCAGTCTTGCTGTCTCTTATGGCTTATCCATTTTTCTCACATCTTTTAAATAGGGAATCCTTTCCACATTTTTTGTTTTTGTCACGGTCTGTCAAAGATCAGAATGGCTGTAGTATGTGGTGGATTATGGGCTCATGTTCTCGCGTTCCATGGATTCCACATCTCTTGTTTTGTACCAGTACCATGCTGTTTTGGGTATACTGATAGGCTTGTAGTATAGTTTGAAGTCAGGTTAGGTGTATGACGCCTCCGCTTGTTCTGTTTGGCTTAGGATTGTCCTTGGCAATGAGGGATCTTTTTTAGTATCCATATGAACTTTAAAGCAGTTTTTGGATGGCATTGAATCTATAAATTACTTTGGGCAGTATGGCCATTTCACGATATTGATTCTTCCTATCCATGAGCATGGTATGTTCCTTCCATTGTTTGTGTCCTCTTTTTTTCCACTGAGCAGTGGTTTGTAGTTCTCCTTGAAGAGGTCCTTTACATCCCTTGTAAGTTGGATTCCTAGGTATTTTATTCTCTTTGAAGCTATTTGTGAATGGAGTTCCATTCATGATTTGGCTCTCTGTTTGCTGTTACTGGTGTTATAGAACGCTTGTGATTTTTGCACAATTGATTTGTATCCTGAGACTTTGCTGAAGTTGCTTATCAGCTTAAGGAGATTTTTGGGCTGAGACGATGGGGTTTTCTAAAATAATACAATCATGTCTTTGCAAACAGGGGACAATTTGACTACTTCTTTCCTACTGAATACCCTTGATTTCTTTCTCTTGCCTGATGCCCTGTGCCAGAACTTCCAACCACTATGTTTTGAATAGGAGTGGTGAGAGAGGGCATCCCTGTCTTGTGCCAGTTTTCAAAGGGAATGCTTCCAGTTTCTGCCCATTCAGTATGATATTGGCTGTGGGTTTGTCATAAATAGCTCTTATTATTTTGAGACACGTTCCAACAATACAGAATTTATTGAGAGTTTTTAAGCATGAAGCGCTGTTGAATTTTGTCAAAGGCCTTTTCTGCATCTAAAACTACTAAAATGACAGAAACACCATATTTCCCCTTTACACTTTTTAACTGCTCCTTTTGACATCTCTATTTCTCCCAATGGCACTGTTATTCTTTTGGTTACCCAGGTGAAAAAACACTGCAGTACCCAATTTTCTTTCTCTGACTTCGCAGTCTATCAATTACTGTCTTACTGACTCTATACTATTCCTTTCAAAGCTGCTTCTCCTTTCAAAAATATTTATTTTAATAGGCATATTTTAAAATAAGAACACTTGCTTTATGAACAGTTTCCAAAATATTACCACAAAATAAAATTACTAATTCTATAATTTCATCTAATACCCAGTTAATATTCAGTTTCCCAATTGTCTCAAAAATGTAGAAAATAGATTCAGCCTGAGTTCATACTGGTTTTCTAAAATATTTTTAAGTCTAGAATGGCCCCACGTTTTTGAGATTGTATTTTCAGAAAGTATACAACCTTACTATTTTTCATAATCATTACCCTCCTTTACAAAACCACTACTACCAGAAGAAAGATATTCTGTCTCTAGACTTCTCCTCTCTCTAATCCATGTGAGGTACTGTTAAGATCATGTGACTTCAACACAAAAAGTCCCTGGTGATTCCCCATTGCTTAGCAAATGAATCCTTTATTTTTGACCCCACCATGTATAGTTTTCACAACCCAAGTCACACTTAAGTCTGCCATTAATAGCTTACACAGACTATCTTTTCTTTCAAACAAAACTCAACTCTACAATATCCTTTGTATATCCAACACTGTAATGCTTCTGTACATCTTTCATTCATTCCACAAAAAACATATTGAACACCATCTACAACCTAGACATTGAAGAGGCAGCAGTCAACCACCACAAAAAATTCTTGCCCTAGTTTAGCATACATTCCAGTGGGAAGAGGTAGAAAAAAAACCAAGTAATTATATAACATAACAGAGGGTAGTAAGTGCTAAGGAAAGAAGTAAGCAGAGGCGAGAGTGAACAGCAGTGTAAAGAATGAGAGGTAGAGTTTACAGTTTTAAATAGCAGTCACCGCCGGGCAGGGTGGCTCACATCTATAATCCCAGCACTTTGGGAGGCTGAGGTGGGTGGATCACTTGAGGTCAGGAGTTCAAGACCAGCCTGGCCAACAATGTGAAACCTCGTCTCTACTAAAAATACAGAAATTAGCTGGGTGTGGTAGCAGGTGCCTGTAATCCCAGCTACTCAGGAGGCTGAGGCAAAGGAACTGCTTGAACCCGGGAGGCAGAGGTTGCAATGAGCTGAGATTGCTCCATTACACTCCAGCCTGGGTGCCAGAGCAAGAACCTGTCTCTAAATAAATAGCAGTCACTGAAGGCCTTATTAAAGTGACATTTAAACAAAGACTTACAAGAGATGAAAGCATATGAATAGATGAGGAAAGTGGGTTTTCAGTATCAAAGACATCAAATGCAGAGATCTTGGGGCAGGATTACAGGTAGCTGATATAAGAAATAACAAAAAGGATAGAACAGGTCACAGGAGAAAGAGGTGAGAAAGCGAAGCAAAGGATAATATAAAACCAGGGTAGGGATGGGCAACATAAGCAAGTCTTACTATTAGTTAGAGAAGTCTATGAACTGGGGGACAGAAAATGTCAGGAAGGTAACAACAGATCAAACTGAGAACATACAAGCACCAATGAAGTGACTGCTGAAATTTGTGCTTTTAGTGCAGGCGCGATGGCTCCTGCTTGTAATCCCATTGACATGGGAGGCACAGGTGAGAGGACTGCTTGAGGCCAGGAGTCCGAGATAAGCCTGGGCAACATAGTCACATCCTGTCTCTATATAAAAATAAAAAATTGACTGGGCGCAGTAGCTCATGCCTGTAATTCCAGCACTTTGGGAGGCTGAGGTGGACGGATCACCTGAGGTCAGGAGTTTGACACCAGCCTGGCCAACACGGTGAAACCCCATACCTACTAAACATACAAAAATTAGCTGGGTGTGGTTGCGGATGCCTGTGATCTCAGCTACTTGGGAGGTTGAGGAAGCAGAATCACTCTCGGAGGCGGAGGTTACAGTGAGCCAAGACAGCGCCATTGCACTCCAGCCTGGATGACAGGGTAAGACTCCGTCTCAAAAAATAATAAAATAAAAATAAAAAATTAACCAGGCTTGGTGGCTACAGGTATAGTCCCAGCTACCTGGGAGGCTGAGGTGGGAGGATCGCTTCAGCCCAGGAGTTCAAAGATGCAGTGAAATACAACTGCACCACTGCACTCCAGTCTGAGTGACAAAGCAAAATCCTGTCTCAAAAACAAACAAACAAAACAATTTGGGCTTTTACTCTGAGTGAGACAGGGAGCCACTGGAGGATTCTGAGCAGAGGAGTTGCATGAACTCTCAGGTATGAAAAGGGTCATGCTACCGGCAGTATTGAGAATAGACTGTTGTGGGGTAAGGGTGGAAGCCCCATTAAGACGTTTCTGCAATGAACTAGGTAAGAAATGATGATGGCTTGATTCTAGGAACTAGTGATAGAGGTGGTGAGTTAGTGATTCAGAATATATTCTGAAGGCAGAAGATTTCTTAACAGATTGGATCTGAAGAACAAAGGGAAGAAAGGAATCAAGGATCACTCTTAAGCTTTCGGGTACGAGCAAGTGGAAAAATCGCATTTCCATTAACTGAGATGAAGATGTAGGTGGAGCAGGTTTTGTTTGAAAGACTGATAATTCATTGTTTACTCTCAATTGTCTCTGTTTATGTAGCTCATCCTCAGTATCCAGTTCTTATTCACCCTTTAAAAAATAAATTCAATTGTCATCTGTACAACAGAACTTTCCTGAACCAATTGTTCAAGTCAAAGTATTATCTCTAGTTCTGAATTTCCAAAGCCCTTCTTTTCTAAACTCCTCCCACGATTCTTATTAATTTTAAATTTAATTACATTTATGTATTCCAATTAGCCTTGATTATTAAACTTTAGGCTTCCAGAGGCCAGAGAATGTTTCTTATCTTGTATACTCCGGAACAAGGTACAGTGCCTCAAACACTGCAGGTCACAGTGAATGTTTGCTGAAGGTTGAGGGAATGAAAAACAACCAATGAAGTGATACAGTATCACTGGACTTCAGAGACCAAACAAACTCTAAAAAATTGTAGTTTGATTTGAATAGTGAAGGAAGGATGAGACGTACGAAAATTGGAGAAGTAGATGATAAAGTAAAAGGGAGTGCAACACAAGCCAAGAGAATACTTGCATTAATTTAGAGAAATCTATGAAACTTTGTAATCTAAATAATGAAAAGTGTTAGAAAAAAATAACAGGTTACATCATTGAGAATAACTCTAAATACCACAAAGTTGGATTTTCTTCTACATATGATAACGTAATTATTGCACGTTCCTGAGCATAAGTTTAAGACATACAAGATCACTGACAGGCTGGGCATGGTGACTCACGACTGTAATCACAGCACTTTGGGAGGCAGAAGCGGGCAGATTACAAGGTCAGGAGATTGATACCATCCTGGCTAACACAGTGAAACCCCATCTCTACTAAAAATACAAAAATTAGCCGAGCGTGGTGGCGGGCGCCTATAGTCCCAGCTACTCGGGAGGCTGAGGCAGGAGAATCACTTGAACCTGGGAGGCAGAGGTTGCAGTGAGTCGAGATCGCGCCACTGTATTACAGTCTGGGCGACAGAGCGAGACTTTGTCTCAAAAGGAGAAAAAAAAAAACAAAAAAAACACAAAAACCATCATTGATAAAGATTAATCTTGCAAAGAATTAAAATGACGGATCAAAAAGGGATCAAAAGCTATTCAGAAGAGTACATCAACAGTCCAAAAATGAAGAACCAGAGTAGTAACAGAAAAATAAAAAGTAAGCATAAACTTCAATAAACCTAAATCTAAAATGAGCAAAAATACAACACAAAGTCAGATGTGCATGCCAAAGTTAGTTTTTAAAAAAAATTACATACAACTACGAAAAACAAAATAGATGGTTTCTAATCATAAATATTTATAATAACGTTTATTCAGGAAAGGTAGGGTAAGTGAATACAAATAACCAAAAAAGAACTGAAAAATGTTATCAAAAATTAATCTCCCAGAACACACCAAACCCTAGAGGGATTTGTGGGTTCGGTTTTGTCTTGTTGGAGATTTTTTTTTTTTTTTTTTTTTGAGTCTCACTCTGTCACCCAGGCTAGAGTGCAGTGGCATGATCTTGGCTGTCTGCAACCTCCACTTCTCAGGTTCAAGTGATTCTCCTGCCTCAAGCCTCCTAAATAGCTGGGATTACAGGCATGTGCCAACATGCCCAGCTAATTTTTGTGTTTTTAGGAGAGAGAGGTTTCACCATGTTGGCCCGGTTAGTCTTGAACTCCTGGCCTCAAGTGATCCACCCACATGGGCCTCCCAAAGTACTGGGATTATGAGTGTGAGCTACCGGGCCTAGCCCCTAGAGGCTTTTTGATTAAGTTCATCCAAACATTCCAGAGGCAGGAAGTACTCAGGTTGTACTGCACACAAGACAGAAAAAGGTAACCATTTTAAAATTGATCTCAGAAAGCAAGTAATAATCCTGATTTAAAAATAGAGTAAGGTGATAAAAACTAGGGACCCATCTCAGTAGAGCTGCAAAATTGTTGCAAATAGAAACTAGTTGTGAAATAGTTAACACTTCAAAGCAAAACAAAAATTACAGAATATCTAAATGTACTACCTCAAAGGATAGTGTGAATTTGAAAGTGAGAAAGAGAAAGAGAGAGAGAAAAAAATGTGTCTGTGTGTGTGTGTGTGTGTGTGTGTACAGGACTGCAACGCTGAATCATTATAATAAAGTCTAGTAATCGAAAAACCATACTATTATATCCACTAATAAAATTTTAAATCAAAGTCCCATAAAACACTATCATGTAGAAAAAGCAGAATATGTCCCTCATAAAGAACACATATCTCAAAACAAAACCAACATCATAGTGGGACAAAAACGGGGTATTTCTATTTGAGTCTGAAAAAAGTAACAATGAGTATACTATCATTATTTCTATTATGATCTCTTCCAGAACTTAGTGCAATACATTAAGAAAACTATATATAAGTACTTAAACTGAGGACACAGAATTATCATTAGTTACAAATAATATAACTGGAAAATGAAAGAAAATCAGCTGAAAACTAAGAGAAACTGGTATTGACTATAAAAATCCAATCTATTCAACTATATTCATAGAAATAAATCTAAGAAATGTGAAGAATCTACATTAAAAGAGCTACAAAGCTTAAGAGACATAAAAGATTTAAACAATAAAAGTATATGTATAGATACAATAGAAAAACTTGATTATTATAGACAGCAATCTTTCTCATTCCTCGAATCAATTCGTACACGTTGTGTGATTCCCCTCTATTCCAGAAGTTCTAGCCACAGAAGTCTTCTTCTATTCCTACAATACACCACATTGCTTCCCATCTGAGGACCTCTATACTTGCAATTCTATTTCCTATCCTCCTGTCCCGCCACGACTAGTCCATTTGAACTCTTGATTCAAATGTCACTTCCTCAAATACACCTCCTGTTGGCTACCCTCTCTACTCCTGACCCCTTCCCCCAAATTGAGTCACTATAGATTTACCTTTTCTTAATGTCACTAATCACTACCTACGATAATTTTGTCATATTTTTTTTTTTACCATCTGTCCCCCTTAAGATAGGTCTTCTCTAAGATACGACTGCTGTCTTGTTACTGGAGTGTGATAGCATCTAATAATATTTGGCAAAACTATGTGCTAATTCCATATTTTGGTACAGAATAAATTTTTTATAAAGTAATTTTTAATGACATGAAAGCATTCATGATGCACTATTAAATGACTTAAGCAAGTAACAAAGTATACATAATGGTCCCATTTTTATAAAACTAAAAAAAACACATATTCTTTAGGTGGTATGTTACAAAGTAATACATCAGGAAAATACTAAATTCTAAATCATTCTTGACATAACAGAAAAACTGCTCACCTGCTGGCCTTGAGGACTTTGCAAGATCTGAGCCACAGCCGCGAGTGTATCTGTATTTGTTATCTGAGATACCCACGGATCAGGTAAGCCTTGGACCACATTGGCCGGAGTAACAGGTGTCACAGGAGTTCCTTTAAAAAAGAACATCACACTCCCCAAATAAATAAGTAAAAAATTAAGACTTGAAAAAGCAGAATTTATTACTTTTATAAAATACATGCACACATATTAAGTTTTTATTTTATTGTGTCCACTTTGAAAAATCACTTAAAATCCTTTATAGAATTAGGTAGGTTAAACACACACACACATCCTGAAAGGATCTGTCCAAATTTGTCCTCCTCAATTAACTCAGTTACTACAGTGTCCCCACTTACGCTTGGGAGATAGTGTTCCAGGAACTCCAGTGGATCCCTGAAACCAGAGCTAGCACCAAACCCTATATATGCTATGTTTTTTTCTGTATGTTCACATATACCTATGATAAAGGTTAACTTATAAATTAGGTACAGTAAGCAACAACAGATTAGCAACAACAATAACTAATAAACTATACTGTGAAAAAACTTATGTGAATATGGTCTCTCCCTCTTTTTCTCTATCTGTCGAAGTATTTTATTGTATTATACTCACCTATTTTCAGACTGTGGTTGACTGCAAGTAATTGAAATCATGGAAAGTAAAACTGATGTGAGGAGACTACTGTACTTTTAAAAAGCCTACAATACTTAACAGCCATTAAAAATCTTACTTTAGAGACAAAAATTCAGTAACATGAGGAAATACTCAAAATACAATCTTCAATAAAAAATTTTTATAAGTATACATAACATAAAACCATGTTTGGGCCAGGTACGGTGGTTCACGCCTGTAATCCCAATGCTTTCAGAGCCCAAGGCAAGAGGACTGCTTGAGCCCTGCAGCTCGAGACCAGCCTGGGCAACACACCAAAACTCCATCTCCAACAACAACAAAAAATTAGCCAGGCATGGTAGTGCATGCCTGTAGTCCTACCTACTTAGGAGGCTGAGATGGGAGGATCACTAGAGCCCAGGAGGTTGAAGCTGCAGTGAGCTATGATCACACTACTGCACACCAGCCTGGGTGACAGCACAAGGTCTCAATGAACAATACATCAATTTTTGTTCTCACACACACACACACACACACACACACATATAATATATACGAAATGCTAACCAATTTAATTCCTGGAACTATGATTTTAAAAAAAAATTTTTTTTTTTTTTGAGTCAGAGTTTCACTCTCGTTGCCCAGGCTGGACAGCGCGATCTCGCCTCGCTGCAACCTCCACCTCCTGGGTTCAAGTGATTCTCCTGCCTCAGCCTCCCCAGTAGTTTGGATTAGAGGCGCCTGCTACCACACCCAGCTAATTTTTTTTATTTTTAATATAGAGTTTCACCATATTGGCCAGGCTAGTCAACTCCTGACCTGAGGCGATCTGCCTGCCTCGGCCTCCCAAAGTGCTAGGATTACAGGTGTTAGTCACTGCGCAGGGCTGGAACTATGATAAAAACTTTTATCATAGTCATTTAAATGCCTCAAGAGAACATGATTTTGAAATTTTGGTTTTGTTAAATAATTATTTCAGGGTTTCTTAAAAAATATTAAATCCGCCTAGTATCCTATAAATACCAAGTTGATACAAATCCAAGTATAAGAAGTTACAGACAACCTAAATCAGGAAAAACCTAACTGACACACCAAATTTCTAAGGTTCATTGTATTTATGTTTCTGTGAATTAAAAGAAAATTAGTTTTCTACATTTTAGAAATAATTACATACAAATATAATATCTAATTTTATTTTTCTCTACAAATATTTTCTTTCAATTATCTAATGCTGGACAAATTTTCCTGCACTGTCGAATTATTTTTTATATGAACAGTCATCCAAAAAGTATGAGTAGAATATTTAGACAACAAATCTATAATAAAGCAACATACCTGGAGTATTGCTCATAGCAGTGGTAGTGCTGGCCAAAACAGGTGTGACAACAGGAGGCGGAATCCCAGCTGCCATATCCAAAAGAGGCTGAATAATCTCACTTTTAAATACATTATTCTTCTGCCATAAGTTTAGTACTCTCACTATTTTACTCTAGAGAAAAAAAAGAAACATGACATTTTGTTTTTTGCTCTCAAAACCTTAGTACAGTCATTTCATAGAGGCTATCTGGGCCCTGGATGGAAAGGAGAAATTAACAATACCTCAATGGTACTTTCTAGCCCTAAAATTCTATGTTTCTATCATTTTGCATTTGCTACCTTAAGGTGCTTAAAAACATGTTAATGCTGATAGACATGCAAATTAAATGAAAGTTCCATTTAGTTGAAGGCAGAGATGACATCTAGGCTTCCTCTCTTATGTCACTTCTAATGATATGGATGGTAACACTGGCTGGAGACCTGTCTTAAGTATTCTGAGGGTGAGCCAGGATTCATCTCAGTACTAACGTTGTATTTATAGTTGATTTTAACTTTGTCTTACACAATGTCTATCTTTTGAACAAACAGGTAACTTGTAGTACAAACTCCTTATCTAATGTGACTTTCAAAAAGTTTCATTTTACAAACTACTTGAGGAGAGGGCATTTCCTCATGGAAGAATTTAATCAAATTACTTCCTTTTTTGAGCATCCTGCCATGAATGCTAATTCCCTACTGACATTTTGAACCAGAGATGGACAAACTTCTGTACAGACAGAATATGAAGCTTAATCATTTCTTCTCTCTTCATTCCCCCTTTTCTTTATTCTTTCCTGTTCCCTTTCCCCTTGTAGAATGTCAGTGTCATACTGGCATTACTTAATCTGGCCCTCAGAATGATGAATCATGCTCCGTATGAATAATGTTCTACATTATTTCATTTCCTAAAATTTGAGTCCTTTACCATTTTGTAAATTAAAAAAAAAAATAAACATAAAAAACGTGCTTGCTACTGGCAAGCAGACTTTGACATCTTGAACCATCTCATTTTCTCTTCTTGATATGCCCCTGAACCACAGCACTGCATCCTATTTTATATTCCTCATAAAGAGTCTCAACAATGCCCATCCCAACCCACACTCTAATCATTTTACCACCAAATAAATCACATTTTTGTTTTAGTGTCAACCTCTTTCTGGATTACTCAAATAGTCAGAGTTCTTCGTATTTTTTGTAAGGTTCCAGTCAGTCATATAATATTTATGCAGCTGCTATAAAATTCATGAAATATTTACGATCTATATAACGTTGCTGCTGATCTTGGTCTCAACCAACATTAAAAAAAAAAAAAAAAACCTTAGTATCCTCATTTATAAAATAAGACAGTATACCAGAAGGATTCTCAGGTCCCTTTTCTCAATCTCCAAACTGTATTAGACTGTTTAAGCTGGCTAGTATTTTAAATGTCTAGCCACTCTCAAATTTTGAGCATCTTGGGAGGGAGATACACGCTTTGTTAGTTACAGCTCTTCTTATAGCAATACTATAACGTACTTCTATTTAATTACTTATACCCTAATCTCAGTCATTTCATATGAAAATCTATTTCGTTGGGAAATTCTATTTACCTACTGCCTGTCTCTTGTTATACTCTGCGTATCATAAACTTGAAAAGACTAGTTATTAGTGACTTCTATTTCTTGGGTAATTCTGAAATCTAGTAACATAATTAGCAGTATTTAGAGAAAACTTGGTAACTAGAAAAATTCCTACTTATATGTCTCCCTTGGTTGTATTAAAGTTTTACATATCCTGAAAGTTTCAAACTTACAGGCAGAAAAATATGCCCAGTGAAAAATAATGTCTCAAGATGTTCTACAGTATTTTATAAGGAGGATCAGCAGTTCCATCTATTATACCTTGCTTCTGAAAATAAACATTTCACTCAGAGCACACACGTCAAGAGTAACAATATCCTGAATTCATATTATCACTAATAAAAGCATAACAGTTATTATGTAATAACTATTTTCTTGATACTATCACCAAACAATCTGATTCACAACTATATACTATTATGTAATAACTATTTTATTGATACTATCACCAATCACCAAACACTCTGATTCACAACTGTTTAGCACATAACTATTCTGCAAACAAGTACTAAGACCTAGTTACTACTATTGTGATGCCATTTATTCCATTAGGAAAAAAAAAAAATGACAGAGGCTAAAATCAAGTACAAAAAAAGAACATTCTGTTAAATGTATATGTTTTACAAAGTAAAATAGCAATTTTCAGAATAAAGATCTCGTTCATCTTTAAATCCCTCATAATACTACAGTGACATATTTTAAAACTATGTCCAAACTATATTAATGTGCAAATGTGTGTATTTCAAATGAGGCATAAGAAAATTACAGAGACTGCTTCACACTTTCTGATTTGACTATTTCTCCACTCTAAAACATGAGCACTTGGAAAATGCCTTATATTCTTCTGCTTTATATAAAAATCTTTCAGTTTCCAAGCCACCCATCATACACTTTAAAATTGGCCAGCACCTAACCACTATCATTCTATATATCTACATACAATGTCCCTCATTTATGATTGAGATTGCAATGTTAATCTATACTCTCCTCCTATGGTTAAAAGAAAGCCCTGTTCCATAAGCCCTAGTATGAGATATTATATTATGAAATCTACACATTCAAGAAAGATTTAATCATCAGAGCTGACTGAAATCCAAGTCCAAACTAGTGAAATTTCTAAATCAAAGTAAAGTGACTTCTAAAAATATATATGGCCGGGCGCGGTGGCTCAAGCCTGTAATCCCAGCACTTTGGGAGGCCGAGACGGGCGGATCACGAGGTCAGGAGATCGAGACCACCCTGGCTAACACGGTGAAACCCCGTCTCTACTAAAAATACAAAAAAAAAAAAAACTAGCCGGGCGAGGTGGCGGGCGCCTGTAGTCCCAGCTACTCGGGAGGCTGAGGCCGGAGAATGGCGTGAACCCAGGAGGTGGAGCTTGCAGTGAGCTGAGATCCGGCCATTGCACTCCAACCTGGGCGGCAGAGCGAGACTTCGCCTCAAAAAAAAAAATATATATATATATATAAAATTTCAGATTAGTACATTACTTCAAGTGGGAGTCTAAGGTACCTATTTTAAAAATCAATTATGACAGGTCACTTAAAATTGGAAGCATTCTAGGTCGGGCGCAGTGGCTCACGCCTATAATCCCAGCACTTTCAGAGGCCAAGGTGGATGGATCACGAGGTCAGGAGATCGAGACCATCCTGGCTAACAAGGTGAAACCCCGTCTCCACTAAAAATACAAAAAATTAGCTGGGCGTGGTGGCGGACGCTTATAGTCCCAGCTACTTGGGAGGCTGAGGCAGGAGAACGGCGTGAACCCGGGAGATGGAGCTTGCAGTGAGCCGAGATCACGCAACTGCACTCCAGCCTGGGTGACAGAGTGAGACTCCGTCTCAAAACAAATAAAATTTTAAAAAGTAGAAGCATTCTTTTGTCTGCACAGAATTATTAAAGTACTAAGGTAATTAAAAAGAAAAACTGAAAACTTTCTGTCTCGAGGAGTATATCCAAGAATAGTTCACAAAGAATATAGCATAATAAATTTATCTCCAGCCGGGCGCGGTGGCTCACACCTGTAATACCAACGTTTTGGGAGGTCATGGTGGGCGGATCACAAGGTCAGGAGTTTGACACCAGCCTGGCCAACATGGCGAAACCCCATCTCTACTAAAAATACAAAAAAAAACTAGCAGGGTGTGGTGGCAGGCGCCTGTAATTCCAGTTACTCAGGAGGCTGAGGCAGGAGAATCACTTGAACCCAGGAGGCAGAGGTTGCAGTGAGCCAAGATCGTGCCATTGCACTCCAGCCTGGGTGATAAGAGCAAGACTCCGTCTCAAAAAAATAAATAAATTTATCTCCATAGCTATCCATTATAACAAGATTTTTTTCTGATTCAAGACTATATAATAGTTATGAAAAATAACTACTTAATCTTGTTATACTCAATATAAAGGTGAACCATTTGTGGTGAGCTTTGAAGTTCTGTGGTTCTTCCATAAAACAAACATCAATCTTCATCTATTCTCATCTTTCCATACTTAATCAACAATGCAATCAACTCTGTCAGAAAAAGCACACCTCAATTTCCAAATCAACATCCAAAATAAATAAGCTAACCTCTCAGAGCAAGTAAAAGGATAAGCAACTCCTTTTCATGCCTGCTCATGATCCAAAGCTTTCTTTTTACTTGCTATTTATAGAATATTTACACATTTAGATCTTACACATACCAGACTTAGTAGTGTGATTAATAAAATTCTACCATAATAGAAGAATTTTAATATGCAGTTAAGTATCAACTCATGTCAAATAATTCCGAATTGACTGTGTGTGAATAAGTTTCATGTAATTGCAAAAGCTTATTTTAGCCATTTTATTTAACACCAATTGCTTCAATAAATTAAAAAGTAGCAAATCTGCTACATCTTTCTGTACTCTCTAAGAAATTCAAAGAACAAAATGGAACATGGACACCGTAATAATTAAATATTCACATCTGAAATAACTAAGAGCAAATGAGAACATAAAGATATATACAGTCCTGTGCCACTTAATGACAAGGATATGTTCTGAGAAATGGTATCATTAGCAGATTTCATCATTGTGTGATGTGTACTTACACAAACCTAGACGATACAGCCTACTACACACCTAGACTATACGTCACATTCTATTGCTCCTAGACTACAAACATGTACAGCATGTCACTGTACTGCATACTGCAGGCATTTTTAACACAATGGTATTTGTGTACATAAATGAGAAATGGTAAAATAAAAATACAGTATTATCATCTTAGGAGACCACCACTGTATATGCGGTCTGTCACTGAAACATCATTATGTGGCACATGACTGTACTAAGATAATATGAAGACTAATTAAGACCAAGAGGGTACTGTTATCTACTTTAAAACAAACAAACAAAAAAATCAGCAGCATACCTTGTCATCCCCAGGGCAACGATATAAATTCTGGAAAGTGCTAATGATGTTATTACTAAATCTGGGTGCAAACACATCCTTTTCTTGACCAAACTGATGTCTGGATTGTCGCACAATGGAGTCAATAACATAAAGTCCAGGTACTTTGTATTCTGGTTTACACTGATGAAAAAAGAACAATGAAAAGGGAAGGAAACGATAAGGTAAAATTCTTGATAGACAAAAATCATCATAAATCCTGTGTAAATACAAAGACACTGCCTATGCTGAGGTAATGAATATTCACACATTGACTACTCCAGTATCGTCAGTTTCTGGAATGGCATTTTAAAGAATCTACTCTGACTACTCTACACATTCAGAAGTTCTAAAATAGTACTACATGGATTCAATGACATAAAATGATAAATAAGGTACCATTATAATTTTTAAAATTTGTTTAATCATTGTGAAAAGCTACATGGAAGAAAGAAGCAAATTCAGGAAAGAAGGGCTCTAGCAAACACACTGCCAACATGCCTCAGACTTCATCTGGAACACACAACAAAAGGGTTCCTATACAAATTAAAAGAACAATGCCAAATGGCAAATTATAAAATTGTAAATACAGAGGCCAAAGTTTCCATTTATTTCCCAAACATAACATCTATAATTCTGGGGATCTATCATGTGTCATCCAGCCTGGAATGCACTGGTGCCATCATGGCTCACTGCAACACCGACCTCCCAGGCTCAAATGAACTTCCATCTCAGCCTTCCAAATAGCTGGGACAACAGGTGCACAGCGCTAATTCCTGTATGTTTTTTTGGAAGAGACTTGGTTTCACCATGTTGTCCAGGCTAGTCTCAAACTTCTGGGCTCAAGCAATCCTCCTGACTAGATCTCCCAAAGTGCTAGGAATACAGGCACGAGCCACTGTGCCCTGCCTCCCCTACTTTCTGAACATAAGCTTTTTTAGCCTATGTAGTTAGGCAAGCACAATGAAGAATCCTTTTACTTGCAAGCTTTCTGCGCAGTATCTTTAGATACACAGACGTTAACATTTTGTGGGACAGAATTTCCTTCACTGGTAGATTAGGCATTTTTGCTACATAAAATGGCAAAAAAACTATTTAGTATGATTTAATATTTTAAATAATTTTAATACTTGGAAAACCTGGCTAAGTCATCAACTAGAAACCTGAGAGAAGAATCAAGACAAAGAAATCTGCAATATTTTAAAATTTTCCTCTTTAAATACCATTAGACTCAAAACAAGAATTCCTAAGACTCTCTAATTGAAACCTCCTTTGCAAAAATTTTAACTGAGGAAGTTACGACAGTGAAAGCGAGCAGACCTAACCAACTCCATCTTGCTTCTAACTTTTAAGCTGTCCTTGTCATTCCTGGGCCTGGGCCGAAATAACATTGGGAGGGGATTTAGTTTATGGTTTGATTCAGAAACAAAATTAATATTTAATAATAGTCTTTTCCCAAAAAGACCCTCTTCTTGCCTGGGTACCAGTCTGCCTTTGTAAGACTAACAAATTAGCTACAAGATTAGAAATTACAGTTTAGGGTCACACAGCGTCTGAACCTCCCCAAATTGCTCCTGAGTATAACATCACTATCATAAAACCTAAGATCAGTGCTTGAGACATTTTGCAGACCTTTCACTGGATGGATCAGCTGACATTACCCAGACTGGTAATCTGGCTCAACCAGTCCTGCGATCCCACCCAGGAAGAGAAGACAGTAAGAAAACCTCACTTCGACCTCCCTATGATTCCATCTGCAACCTGACCAACAGCACTCCCCACTTCCTGAGCCCCTACCCACCAAATTATCTTTAAAAACTCCAATCCCCCATCCCCGAATGCTCTTGGAGACTGATTTGAATAACAATAAAACTCCAGTCTCCTGCACAGCCAGCTTTTCGTGAATTGCTCTTTCCCCACTGCAATTCTCCTGTCTTGATAAATTGGCTCTGTCTAGGCAGCAGGTAAGGTGAACCCACTGGGCAGTTACACAATGGCATAAGGTATTTTTACTGTAAATAACTTTCTAAAGCATATCATATTAAGTTTTTATAGATACACCATTTTTCAACTATATTCTAGTAATTTCCAATTTCTTATTTTATAGAGAAATAGCCTTTTTAGGGGGAGAAAGATAAGAACGAATAGGGAGAATGCACCCTTAAGTATATTTCCATGATTTTTCATTTTGTCATCCAAGTTATCATCTGCAGGTTAACATCTGTTATGGTTATTTGTCAAAGAACCTTCTAAGTAAGTTGGACCATACACTTTGCAATATACAAATACACCTTAAATAATTATCCTATTTTTAGAATTTGTGCTCCCGCATGCAGGTACTAAAAGGTGATATTAATTTAAAGACAACAAAGCTAGAGTGGTAGAAACAGAAGCATGTGGCTATACGTGCAAAGCACTGAATAATACCAATGGTGTGGCATGTAAGAAAGATGGCTCGATAGATTAGAAAAATTTAAATCTAACAATACCAAGTGCTGACAAAAATGGGAAGCAACACAAACCCATGCATCGTAAGGAAGAATGTAAATCAGCACAATCATAGTAAAACTAATTTAGTATTATCTAGCCACGGTGAAGAAATGCATACCCTGTAACCAGCAATTCCACTCCTACAGAAATGCAAACTGTATCAGGATACTTATAATCCTACATATGTAAATATTACACTGTTCACAGCAATACTGTACAGAATTGCAAAAACTAGAAAACACACACAGTGCCAACAGGAGACGTGGGCAAGCTGCTGTCTATTCACATAATGGAAAATATACAGCAACAGATAGTAATAAATACTGCTACACACAAGGATGAATCCTAGACACATGATATTGACTAGGAGAACTGTATAAAAAGAATACATACCATAGGATTACATTTAAGAATTTAAAATACATTAAACCACTTTAAGAATTCATTTTATACAAAGTAAAACTATAATGTCAAGCAAGGATGTGACACAAAAGTCAAACTGTGGTTACCTGGGTAGGGGGTGTGCAAGACATGATTAGGAAGACGTACTTGGGGCTTGTGGGCTTCAAAGTTCTACTTCTTGAAATGAGTGAGAGTTACATAGGTCTTCTCTTTATAAAAATTTGGCTGTACATATTGTTTTCTGTACTTTTCTACAGATGTACATAGAAATTTCACAATAAAAAGAAATACAGTTGTCCCTCAGTAGCCTTGGGGGACTGGTTCCAAGACCCCTGCAGGTATCAAAATCCAAGTATGCTCAAGTCCCTTATATAAAATGGGCAGTATTTGCATATAACCTACAGACATCATCCCATATACTTTAAATCAACTCTAGATTACTTTGAATACCTAATACAACGCCTACACATCGCTTCACTCACATTGTACTCAGCGTACAGGAAATTCAAGTTTTGCTTTCTAGAATTTCGTGGACTATTTTTCCCCCAAATTTTGATCCCAATAGGCTGAGCCCATGGGTTGGAACCCACAAATACGGACGAGTGACTGTAATTATATAAACATCCCTGGTTTCTTAAATAAAGCAAGAAGCAAAAGTTTCTCTAATCATAATGATTAAGAATGATAAGCTTAAGATCTATATTTGAAACGTAAATTTAAGAAGTGTGGAACTTACGTTGATCTAAAATATCCCAGGGAAAAGGAGCTTTAATAAAAGTACATATGAAAAAGTGAGAATCTGGAAATACACTCCTTTCAAACTGTTTGTGCCCATGTACAAAAATCTTTTTGTATCCTACCTCCAAGGGTAAAGGTACACTTATGATAAAAGTCCAGTTACAGAATACTGCACCCTACATGAAAATATATATATATATCTCTCAAGACACCAGAGGTAAGTAAATATAACAGCCATCTTTCTTTTTCTTTTATTTTTTTGAGATGGAGTCTCACTCTGTCACCCAGGCTGGAGTGCAGTGGCATGATCTCAGCTCACTGCAACCTCTGCTTCGTGGGTTCAAGCAATTCTCCTGCCTCAGCCTCCTGAGAAGATACGATTACAGGCGTGTACTACCATGCCTGCCAACTTTTTGTATTAGTAGAGACGGGATTTCACCATTTTGGCCAGGTTGGTCTCAAACTCCTGGCCTCTCAGGTGATCTGCCCACCTTGACCTCCCAAAGTGCTGGGATTATAGGCGTGAGCCACCACGCCTAGCTCAGCCATCTTTCAATGTGGACTCAATCCTTCCTCTGGAAAAATATCAAAGAGCAGAAGCATAAATGTTTGGCTTCACTGAAAAATACATATCCACTGCAAAATATCAACCACCATAACAACCATGTACATAAAGTTACCAGATCAAGTTTCTAGAAAACAAAAAACTTTCATGATGATAATCTTTAGACAGTTTAGCACCATCTTTTCATTTATTATTTACAAAGTAAATGTAACCTGAAAATCACCACAAATAAGCCACATTTCTTGCTCTTACTAAGTATGCAGCACAGGAAATTTGAAGAAGGTAATGATAGCCAAAAACTTACAGATTAAGGCAACAGTAACTCATCTACAGACCATTTTCAGAGCCAGAAAGATGAAATTTATTTTCGACTTCACCGTATCTAAGAGTAGCCACAGTACCATAGAATGTATTTCACTATAACAAAGCATCTAGATTTTTTCAGAATAAATAGTTCTGAATGATAATATTCAATCTTATTCTGAATCTAGTGGACAGATTTGTTTGTCGTATTCACGCAAAAAAGGCAGGGGATTTCATACAGACAAAAAGAGTTGGGTAAACTCTACATATTTTTGGAACAGAGCTGAGGATTTCATTTTCACATTTCAAACTAGCAAATGAGAACAGAATGGTTAGCTATGGATGTTAGAAAAGTCACCAAATCATGAGGTCTCTGGCTCAAAAAAAAATTTATTGCCTTTAGGATTCAGGACAACTAAGGTAAGTTAGTTATTTATAATGCAAATATGGGGATCTATGATGGTTAACACTGAGTGTCAACTTGACTGGACTGAAGGATACAAAGTATTGATCCTGGGTGTGTCTGTGAGGGTGCTGCCAAAGGAGATTAACATTTGAGTTAAATGTTCCCAGTGAGCTGGGGAAGGCAAACCCACCTTTAATCTGGATGGGCACCATCTAATCAGCTGCCATCAAGTATAGAGCAGGCAGAAAAATATGAAAAGGAGAGAATGGCCTAGCCTCCGAGCCTACATCTTTCTCTCATGCTGGACGCTTCCTGCCCTCGAACACTGGACTCCAAGTTCTTCAGTTTTGAGATTCAGACTGTCCTTGCTCCTCAAGCTTACAGACAGCCTGCTGTGGGACCTTGTGATCGTGTAAGTTAATACTTAATACTTAAACTTCCCTGTGTGTATATGCATATATACATACACGCACACATATATCCTATTAGTTATAAGATATCTATACGTACCCTGTATACGTGCATATATATACACATATCCTATTAGTTCTGTCCCTCTAGAGAACACAGCATCAAAAGAGAAGTTCTAAAACGTGTCTTCTAAAGTTTCCTTATCTGTTTGTAACTCCAGCCTTTGCTGCTGCTGTCGTCCCCATTTTGTTTTTTTTGTTTCTTGTTTTTGTTTTTTTTTTTTTGAGACAAGCTTTTGCTTTGTTGCCCAGGCTAGAGTGCAGTGGCACAATGATGGTTCACTACAGCCTCAACCTCCTCCTGAACTCAAGCCTCAAGCAATCCTTCCACCCCACCCACATAAGCAGCTAGGAACACGGGCACTTGCCACTTTGCCCAATTACTTTTTGTAGTTTTTAGGCTGGGACAGGGTTTTGCCATGTTTGCCCAGGCTGGTCTCAAACGCCTGAGCTCAAGCAATCCACCAGCCTTGGTCTCTCCCAAACTGCTAGATTGCAGGCATGAGCCAGAGTGCCCAGGTGTTTCTGTCTTATAAAGCTAAGACACAATCAGCATATGAACTGATTTTTGGCAAAATCAATTAGGACAAGGCCAGAGGCCAGAGTATTCTTTAGAGTAGTTTTCTTGGCCTAAAGGAAATCATATTTACTGTTAATTTTTCATTTACCATCATCTATTACTGCATAAATCTTTCATGACTAAAACATGGGTTCATGGATAATATATGACCAAACTGCAGCCACACTTCTCCTTTATACAATTTATGCTATATGAAGAGAATATAAAATGGTATGGCCATCTTGGAAAACAGTTTGTTAGTTTCTTATAAAATGGAGACATGTACTTACTATCCCAAAGAAATGAAACTTACACTCACACACAAAAAAACTCTGGGTATACAAGTGTTCCTAGCAGCTTTATTCATAATAACCAAAAACTAGAAACAACCCAGATGAACCCCAATAAGTGAATGATTAAACTGTGGTAAAACTATGTGTCTCTTCTGGTTACTGTAGCCTTGTAGTATAGTTTGAACTCAGGTAGCATGATGCCTCCAGCTTTGTTCTTTTTGCTTAGGATTGTCTTGACTATATGGGCCCTTTTCCTATTCCATAAAGTAGTTTTTTCTAATTCTGTGAAAAATGTCAATGGTAGTTTGTGGTAATAGCATTTAATCTATAAATTACTTTGGGCAGTATGGTCATGTTCACGGTATTGATTCTTCCCATCCATGAGGATAGAATGTTTTTCCATTTGTGTCCTCTCTGATTTCCTTGGGCAGTGGTTTGTAGATCTCCTTGAAGAGGTCCTTCACACTCCTTGTTAGCTATATTCCTAGGTATTTTATTCTCTTTGTAGCAACTGTGAATGGGAGTTCATTCATAATTTGACTCTCTGCTTGGTGCATATTGTTGATGTATAGGAATACTTGTTATTTTTGCATCCTGAGACTCTGGTGAGGTTGCTTATCAGTTTAAGGAGTTTCGGGGGCAAAACCACAATGAGATATAGTCTCATGCCAGTCAGAATGGTGATTACTTAAAAGTCAAGAAACAACCAATGCTGGCAAGGCTGTGGAGAAACAGAACACTTCTATACTCTTGGTGGGAATGCAAATTAGTTCAACCATTGTGGAAGACAGTGTGGCAATTCCTCAAGAATCTAGAACCAGAAATACCATTTGACCCAGCAATCCCATTACTTGGTATATACCCAAAAGAATAGAAATTATTCTACCATGAAGACGCATGCACACGTATGTTTACCACAGCACTATCCACAGTAGCAAAGACATGGAATCAACCCAAATGCCCATCAATGATAGACTGGATAAAGAAAATGTGGTACATATACACCATGGAATACTATGCAGACATAAAAAGGAATGAGATCATGTACTTCGCAGGGACATGGATGAAGCTGGAAGCCATCATCCTCAGCAAACTAACACAGAACAGAAAACCAAAGATCCCATGTTCTCACTCGTAAGTGGGAGTTGAACCATGAGAACGCGTGGACACAGGGAGGGGAACAAAGCACACCAGGGCCACCTGGGGGTGGGGGGCGAGGGGGGGGACAGCATTAGGACAAACAGCTAATGTACGTGGGGATTAAAACCTAGATGCTGAGTTAATAGGTACAGCAAACCACCATGGCACAGGCATACCTATGTAACAAACCTACATGTTTTGCACTTGCATACCAGAACTTAAAGTAAAATTTTTAAATAAAAAAGGAAGGAACTATTTGATACATGCAACAATAGATTTCAAAAGAATTACGTGGGCAAAACCAGGCAATCTCAAAAAGTTACATTTTGTATGATTCCATTTATGTAACATTTTGAAATGCAAAATAGAGAAAGAGAACAGGTTAATGACTGCCAGGCCTTAGGGATTAGGGATGGGGGGGAGGAGGAGGTGAGTCGAGTGTTACTATAGAGTATATAAAAGCAAAACACAAGGCATCCTAGTGGTGAAGAAACTGTTCTGTATCTTGACTATGGTGATGTTTGTATGAATCTATATATATGATTAAATGCATACATATACAAATGAGTGCAGGTAAGACAATTAAAATCTGAGTAAGGTTAGTGTCAATAGGTGACTGTATCATGTCCTGACTGCAATATTTTACAATTCTACAGAACGTCACCACAGTGGGAAACTGAGCGAGGGGCACATGGGATCTCTACATGATTTATTCCTTATGATTTAATGACATGTGAATCTATAATTAGTTCAGAAATAAAAGTTTATTTATATATATATATTTTTTTATATATATACACACACACACACAACTTATTTTGACCATTACACAAATCTGTTGCTGGATCTCTGATTTAAACAGGGTAGTAGCAAAGCATTTAAGTTTTTCCCCAAAGACTGACTGGCTTCTTCAGAATGACTGTAATTATCTCACGATGGAATAACTTTGCTCATTCCAGGTCTTCCTAAGATTCTAACATGTTTTATTCAAAGTACCCTACCCCAAATGAAATCAGTCAACAAGCATTTATCCATAAATTCACTTTTACCTTTTAAACCTTTACAACTCAAATTGTGGCTTGTGAAGAAACATCATCTAGGAGCTGCTACAAATGCAGAATCTCAGGCATTTTTAACAAGATTCCTAGGTAAATTCCTACTCATAAAGTTTATGAGGCACAGTGTAAGACATTAAAACTTTTCAGCTGGGCACTGTGGTTCACGCCTGTAATCCCAGCACTTCTGAGAGGCCAAGAGGGATGGATCATTTGAGGTCAGGAGTTCAAGACCAGCCTGGCCAACATGGTGAAACCCCATCTCTACTAAAAATACAAAAAAAATTAGCTGGGCGTGGTGGCGCATGTCTGTAATCCCAGCTACAGGGGAGGCTGAGGCAAGAGAATAGTTCGAACTCGGAAGACAGAGGTTGCAGTGAGCCGAGATCATGCTACTGCACTTCAGCCTGGGTGACAGAGTGAGACTCCGTCCAAAAAACAAAACAAACAAAACAAAATCAACAACAAAACAAAACCAAAAACAAACCAGACATTAAAACTTTTAAAGAAAGATCTTTTATCAGAACAACAATCTCTGAGAAATGCTTTTAAAAGCGTAAGACCAAATAAAATGTTTCAATCACTAACATTTTTCAACTTTAAGTGAAACAAACAGCATACTTGTTATTCAACCCTTTATCTTAGCTTCAACTTACCTAAACCACTTAATCCCCAAATATGTTTTATCGATACTACATACACACACACATTTTTTGAGACAGGGTCTCACTCTGTTCCCCAGGCTGGAGTGCAGTGGTGTGATCCCAGCTCACTACAACCTCTGCCTCCTGGGTTCAAGCAATTCTTGTGCCTCAGCCTCCCAAGTAGCTGGGATTACAGGCATGCACCACCATGTCAGCTAATTTTTGTACTTTTAGTAAAGACAGGGTTTTGTCATCTTGGTCAGGCTGGTCTTGAACTCCTGGCCTCAAGTGATCCACCCACCTTGGCCTCCCAAAGTGCTGGGATTAACAGGTGCAGGCCATTGTGCACAGCCTATCAATACCATATTTTAAATATTGAGAAAACAAGAATTTTAAAAAAGAAAAAGGAACTGAATCACATAACGGCTAACTGACTTATTCAAAGTTACCTAGCCAGTTGAATGACTGAAATCTCACTTCAAGTCCCGCACCTTTCTCCCAGGTGAAGAACATAAACACACTGCAACCTTGCTGAATCCTTAATGCCACATGACACTGATTCTCAAACTGGCTCTGCTTACATTTAGGCACATGAACATAGGCAGAATACAAACCTAAGTAAAATTATATGAAAGGCACTTTCATTTTATTTCTTAATTAGAAAATAAAATAACTGGAATCACTTTTTAACAGTCCATCAAAACAACTTAAACTTGGGTATTTGATCTAAAGGAGAAGAGTACAGGCATTAATCTATAATTATAGCACATGTATGGAAAATTATATACTTACTTTCTGAATAAACTTCTCAACACTCTGTACCACATGTTTATAGAACTAAAAGAGGAAAAAAATGAAGTATGGTTTTAAAATCAGTTTGAGGAGACTGAAATTTCCTAACCACAGGTTTTACATGTTCCAAAGGTCTATCAAAACAATTATCTTAACCAAGAATTCTGAGACATTCTTGTCACTCACCTTTATATGCAACTAGCTGTGCTATATAATTAGTAAAGGGCTTCTCTGAAGTAGATGTATGATCAGTATGTCCAAAGTGCATTACCTTACCATAGATATAAAATAATGCTATTGAAGACCTTCTGAAAGTACACTTTAACAAACAGTTGTGTTGACAGCAAAATACTTGTAATAAATACTGGTGCGTGTATGTTCTTACATTCACGAAAGGAAAAGTACAGATTTCATATAATGTTATCAGTTAAATCAAGGGAAATTCAAAAAATCAAATAACTACAAGTAACATTAATAAATGTATGTAAGGTAGTTGTTTTCAACTTCATTTATCTCCTGCTTCTCCTGGAAAATGAACTACAAGAATACAAAATAAAACACAGAAATGTATAATATCCTAATGCATCAGACAAAATGAATCAGCAGAAGTGAACATGCAGATTAAAAATTAGTAATGGGCCACTATCACTTTTAAGAAAACTTAGAAGATTTAAGTTTCATAAAATATAGCACTATGAATAAACTTGAAATAAATTATAAAATTAGCATAAAGAATTTGTGCCTAGGCCGGGCGCGGTGGCTCAAGCCTGTAGTCCCAGCACTTTGGGAGGCCGAGAAGGGCGCATCACGAGGTTAGGAGATCGAGACCATCCTGACTAACACGGTGAAACCCTGTCTCTACTAAAAAATACAAAAAACTAGCCGGGTGAGGTGGCGGGCGCCTGTAGTTTCAGCTACTCAGGAGGCTGAGGCAGGAGAATGGCATAAATCCGGGAGGCAGAGCTTGCAGTGAGCTGAGATCCGGCCACTGCACTCCAGCCTGGGCGACACAGCGAGACTCTGTCTCCAAAAAAAAAAAAAAAAGAATTTGTGCCTAATAAATTTTAATGCCACAATAACAATACCATATTGGCGTATTATTTCTGTTTAAAGAACCTGAATTGTGCTTCTCTTTATACTTTTTTTTGTTTGTTTTGGAGACATAGTCTCACTCTGTCCTGCTGGTGTGCAGTGGCACAATCTCGGCTCACTGCAACCCCCACCTCGTGGGTTCAAGCAATTCTACCACCTCAGCCTCCCAAGTAGCTGGGACTACAGAAGCACACCACTATGCCTAATTTTTGTATTTTTAGTAGAGATGAGGTTTCGCCATGTTGGCCAGGCTGGTCTCCAACTCTTGACCTCAAGTGATCCGCCCACCTCGACCTCCCAAAGTGCTGGGAGTACAGGAGTGAGCCGCTGTGCCCGGCCGTCTTTATACTTTTCTTCTCATGAATTATGGATTTTAAGGACATTCCCTTAGACTGAAGAAATATGAACATTCAACTAAACCTCAGCACTAAATCCAGTATTTATAACAAAAATAAAGGAAAACATCATGAACTCATATTCACCAAATCAAAACCTACAAGTTTAAGTTTGGCTAAAGTTACTTACAATCAAGTAAGTTTACTCAATGGTTTAAGTTACTTAAGTAAAAAAGCTAAAACAACTACTTAAAGTTATTAGGCTCTTTATAGGCCCCTGAACATTTAAAAATCAATATGCAAAATATTAAATAACTACACATTGAAGGAACAATTCTTCTGGAAGACATCTTGACAGTGTTCTTTGCTTCTAGTTACTATACACAATTAGAAAATTGCTTCCTAAATCTTAACTGAAAGTTTATTAATTCTCATAGGCCTTCTTCCACAGGAGGTTTTCTGGGAGGTTTTGTAGACAGTGCAATGTTAACCATCACTCATTAATCATTTCTATATAAAAAACAATGACTTACTTCAATATGAAACACAGTATCATTTAAATCTGATTAATAAAATGCAGTGTTTTTATATATAGATACACACACACACACAAAATGCAATTTAAAGAAAGTAGTGAAAAACAGCTGGTCTAGACTCTTCAAAAATGTCAAGTCACAAAAAAAACGGCTGGGTGACAGGACAAATAAGTATAATGCGTATCTTGACTGGATTCTGAAAGAGCAAGGTTGATGGGAACAGCTACTAGTCAACAATGCAACAACATTAAAATGTAACGATGAACTGTATATTAGATAATTATATCAAAGTGAAATTTTTTGCATGTGATTGGTGTATTATGGTTCCCTAGCAAAATGTCTTTATTCTCAGGAGTTTCAAATTCAAGTATGTATCAAGGATTGTTATTACGAATGAAGTTTGAAACTAACTTCCACATGTAGCAAAATGTTAACAATCAGCAAATCAAAGGGAAGAATATGTCCTGCTCACCATAATAATTTGCAACTTACGTTTAAATTTTTTCAAAATTCAAAACATTAAAAACAATAAGTCAAAACAGTAAAATATATCATAATAATAAAGATTAGACTCTTTAAAAAACATTACTTCTTTAAAAAAAAAAAAAAACTAAGAGCCAAGATCTCACTATGTTGCCCAGGCTGGCCTCAAATTCCTGGGTTCAAGCGACCATCCTGCCTCAGCCTACCCAGTAGCTAGGACTAACAATGTGTGCCACTGTGTCCAGAGTTAGACTCTTGACTGACAGAATTCTGGATTAAAATTCTAGCTATATTTACTCCTACTACTGCAAATTACTTAATTTCTCTCAGACCCGTCTGACATCTGAAAATAGAAAACACTGTTTGCACCTATGCCTCATTAACTCTATTAAGAAAGTACTCTGCTCAACAAGCTATGAAAAGTGCATCAATTACTAATTGTCACAGAAAAAAATACACGTTTGCATAGTTTCAAATGATCATGACCATAAAAATCAGACAATGTAGAATAAAGTATAAGACAATAACATTATTCCATAGTAAGCCTATCAAATACTCTAAAAAATCATGTCTTTGAAAGATTTTCTGGCTTCAACGTGCTTATAGCTACTGTCATTCTCTCTCATTTCCTGTCATGTAAGTACATGGATTTTAACTATAGATGTAAGATACTAACAAGTCTGAAAACTAAGCTTTAGCCACTAGAAAACCGCAAAATCAACTAATGATCTGAATTTTCTCCCACTAGTAATTACTAGTAAATGGAAATTTGTTAAATTTAACACATTGCTGTTATTTAAAAGATAATTTAAATAGTTGATGCTTTTGGTTACAGTTAATATTTTAATTCAGGGCAGGAAAACATACCACTGAATATTCATAGGTTAGTATCTACTTAATTAGAAATAAGTACTCATTTATTCTCAATTTTAAGAGGCCTACTAATTCAGGCAATCTTAGCCCCGGGCACAAGAACTTCTTGGGGAAAAATCTATGGCTGAGCTTGAAAAGACCCTTCTGCCAAAAAGTTCCTATAAAATTGTGTGCATACATGTATTTCTCTAGAGAGGATCCAACCTTTTCCTAAGATTTTCAGAAGTATTCATGAGTTAATATAGGTTCAAAACCTACTTTATGAGAGCACAGGTTAAATGTCTATGGCCATTTCCCACAGTTCAAATCCCTGATACAAAGAGTCACAATTGTTTCCCTTAATGGCCTAACTTCAAATCTATAATATTAATAGAATCAACAAGAAAAAATGAATATATCAATATATACAAACCTTTTACCACTCAAATTTCAAGGTTCTGTCAAGTCAGTGTGGCAAAAGACACTGTTAAACACATTCTCCATAATGTGGATATATGCAAAATATTATCTAAGAAAGGTGAGGAAAAATGACTGCTTCAAAAAATTTATGGAAGAATGCTTAAGGAAGAACATTTATCGAAATGTTAAATGTTCGGGAGGCTGAGGCAACAGGATCACTTCAGTCCAGGAGGTCAAGGCCACAGTGAGCTATGATCGTGGCACTGCAGTCCAGCCTGGGTGACAGAATAAGACACTCTCTCTTAAAAAGCGTAATAATAAACATTAAATGTTTATCTCTAGGTAGGAAAGTCTACAGGTGACAGATTTTCTGTGTTTTTCCACAATTAACATGTGTTAACTCTGTAAAGTGAAAGAGAACATACAATCCATAAAAATTATCCCCCATCAAACTATTAATATAGTTTTTTCTTTTGAAAATAGAAGAGTCAAATTTATTACTCACCTTAATAGCTTTGATGGCGGCCTTAGTAATTTGGGTCATTTTTGCTTTCGAAATGGGTGGTTTATAGTCATTCAGGGAATACAGCTGATGAAAAAAGAACAAATTTACATACAGCAAAACTCTCCAAGCAATTACATGAAACTACCAAACATGTTCATTTTTATATTCTCAATGAAACCAACTTACTGCTTTTCTTTTACAAATCAAGCTCAACATCATTACCCATCAGGCAAATGCAAATCAAAACTATAATGAGCTACCACTTCACACTTACTTGCTTATAATCAAAAAGACAGTAACAAGTGTAAGCAAGGATGTGGAGAAACTGGAACCCTCATACAATACTGGTGGGAATATAAAATATTGCAGCAGCTTTGGAAAACAGCTTGATAGTTCCTCAAAAGATTAAACACAGTCAACATATAACCCAGCCAATTCCACTTCTAGGTATGTACCCAAGAGAACTGAGAACGTGTATTCACAAAGAATTTGCACATGATACTTTTTACCCCCTGAGGGTTGAAAAAGAAAGAAAGAAAAAAAAAAACCTGTACACATGTGGTCATTGTAGCCTTATTCATATAAAATTCATTTAAAATTCATAAAAAAAAGCAGACATCCAAGTATCTGTCAGTTAATGAGTAAACAAATGTATCTATTCAAAGAAATATGAGCCATAAAAAGAAAAAAAAAGTACTGATACATGTTACAACCTGAATGAACCTTGAAAACATTATGCTAAACTAAAGAAGCCAGGTGAAAAAGGCAACATGTATATAATTCCATTTATACGTAATATCCAGAAAGGGCAAATCTATTGGTGGTTGTCTAGGGCTGAAAGAGTTGAAGATAAATGAGGAATCACTGCTGATGAGTGTTTCTTGTTGGGATGATGAAAATGGTTTAAAATGGAATGTGACGATGGTTGCACAGAATCACTGAATTGTATACTTTAAGTTGACTGATTTTATGGTATGCACCTCAATAAAACTTTTTAAAAATCAAGGGCTCCGGCTGGGCAAGGTGGCTCATGCCTGTAATTCCAGCACTTTGGGAGGCCTAGGCAGGTAGATCACCTGAGATCAGGAGGAGTTCAAGACCAGCCTGGACAACATGGTGAAACTCTGTCGCTACTAAAAATACAAAACTTAGCTTGGCGTGGTGGCAGGCACCTGTAATTCCAGCTACTCGGGAGGCTGAGGCAGGAGAACTGCTTGAACCCAAGAGGCGGAGGCTGTAGTGAGCAAAGATTGCACCACTGCACTTCAGCCTGGGAGCCTCCAGAGAGAGACTCCATCTCAAAAAGAAAAAAACAAAAAAAGGGCTCTAATGTTTAACAATAATCACACCCCATCTGCCAATTGATTGATTGATTGATTGATTGAGACAGGGTCTCACTGTGCCACCCAGGCTGGAGTTCAAGGGCATGATCACGGCTCACTGCAGCCTCTACCTCCTGGGTTCAAACTATACTCCCACCTCAGACTCCCAAGTAGCTGGGACTATAAGCGCATGCCACCACACGGGCTAATTTTTGTATGTTTTGTAGACGTGGGGTTTCAGCATGTCGTCTGGGCTGGTCTTGAACTCCTGGGCTCAAGCAATCTGCCTACTTCGGCCTCTCAAAGTGGTGAGGTTACAAGCATGAGCCACAGTGCCTGGGCTACCTCCAAATCTTTGTTTTGAAATTTCTCATATAAGCAAAGGGAAAGAATCCTACTCAGAGTGAGGAAATTAGGCAACAGACAACTAAGCTTAAATGAATACTGATTAAAACTTCTACTGTATGCACAGATGCTGATTTTTAAGTATAATACTGTAAGACATTGATTAGAAGTTTGGAAACTAAACTTTGGCCATGTTGGCTAGGCTGGTCTCAAACTCCTGGGCTCAAGTGATCCGCCTGCCTTGGTTTCCCAAAGTGCTGGGATTACAGGCATGAGCCACTGCGCCTGGCTTACTTATATGTGGATTTTTCCAATAAACATTAGAAAATTTTTGAAAGATTTTTGACAATTTAAAAATACATGCAGAGGAACTGTGTAGCCTAGCAATATTGAAAAAACAAAAAAGGCATGTCATGAACGCATAAAATATATGCAGATACTAGTTTATTTTAGTTTAACATTTACTACCATAACATACATAGCATCATTCACAGGAGAGAGAAACATAAACAATGTTAAAGATGTAATATTAATCATAACCGCAAAAACCCCTAGTATAATAATTTCACAGCCACCTACTGTTGCTATTGCAGTGAGCTCAAGTGTGAGTATCCACTTAAAATGCCATGTGATGTTAACCATTTCTGCATGAGCAGTTCATCTCTCTAATAAATTGCTATCATAGTAAAAAATTGTATCTTGCAGTTCTTGAAGATTTTTCATTGTGTTTCGTGCAATAACATAAACCTTGAATACCAGCACAGACCCATGGGAAGTGGCACTAGTGATGCTGAAGGCGTTCTCAAGAAACAAAGTTATGACATTAAAAGAAAAGCGTTGACTTGCTTGATATGTACAGTAGGTTGAGGTCTTCAGCTGCAGTTGCCCACCTTTTCAAGATAAATGAATCTGGCATATGAGGACCATTGTCAAAAAAGAAAAGGAAATTCGTGAAGCGTCACTGCAGCTATCCCAAAAGGCCAAAAACCTCGAACTTTTTGTGAAATACCTTTTTATTTTGTATTGAAAATGCAGCCTCTGTGTGGGTACAGAATTGTTATAAGAAAGGCATACCTACAGACTCTAATATGATTAGAGAAAAGCTAAGTCATTATATGATACCTTAAAGCAAAAGGGAGGTGACAGATCTAAAGCTGGAGAATTTAATGCCAGCAAAGCATCGTCTGATCATTTTAGAAAGAGGTATAGCTTTAAAAATGTCAAGATACCAGAAGGTCAAGCATGGTGGCTCATGCCTATAATCCCAGCACTTTGGGAGGCCAAGGCCGGCAGCTCACTTAATTCCAGGAGTTCAGGACCAGCCTGGGCAACATGGCAAGACCCCGTTTCTCTAAAACATACCAAAAAAAATTAGACAGGTGTGGTGGCCTGCGCCTGTAGTCCCAACTATCGGCTGAGGTGTGAGGATCAGTTGAGCCCAGGAGGCAGAGGTTGCAGTGAGCTATTATCTGTGCCACCGCACTCCAGCCTGGGTGACACAGTGAGACTCCCATCTCAAAAAAAAAAAAAGAGAGATAACAGAAGAAGCAGCTTCTGCCAAATAAGAGGCAACACATGATTTCCCAGATAGCATTAAGAATTTAAGAATATCATTGAGGAGAATGAGTACCTTCCTGAACAGGTTTTTGCAGATGAAAGTAATTTATTCTGGAAAAAAAAAAACCACACACAAAGAACAATTATTGGTAAGGAAGAAAGGCAAACACCAGGATTTAAAGCAGGAAAGTATAGGCTAACTCTACTATTTTGTGCAAATGCAGTCAGGCTTATAATCAGGACTGCCCTTTCTATAAAGCTGCTAACCTGAGCCTTGATAGGAAAAGATAGAAGACATTGGCTGGCTACCAGTCTTTTGGTTATACAGAAGGAAGGCCTGGGCAAGAACACTTTTTCTGGACTGGTTCCATCAATGCTTTGTCCCTGAAGTCAAGAAGTACCCTGCCAGTAAGGGACTGCCTTTTAAAATTCTTCTCATACTGGACAATGCCCCTGGCCACCCTGAACTCCATGAAGGCGTCAAAGTAGTCTACGTGTCCCCAAACGAGACGTCTCTAATTCAGCCTCTAGATGAGGGGGTCATAAGGACCAAAGGCTCATTATACACTGTAGTCTACAAAAGGGATCATCAATGCTGTGGAACAGAACCCCAACAGAACATCATAGAAGTCTGGAAGTATTACACCACTGAAGATGCCACCACCGCCACAAAAAAAGCTGTGAAAGCCGTGAAGCACAAAACAATAAATTCCTGCTGGGCAAAACTGTGTCCAGATGTTGCACATGACTTCATAGGATTTATAACAGAACCAATGAAGGAATCATAAAATTGTGGATATAGCAAAAAAAAAAAGGAGGGGGGCGCTGGAGGGAGGTGAAGGGTTTCAGGATACAAATCTTGGAGAAATTCAAGAGCTAATGGACACCACATCAGAGGAATTAACAGAAGACAACCTGATGAAGAAGAGTGCTTCCAAACCAGTGCCAGACGGTCAGGAAGAAGCAGAAGAAGCAGTGTCAGAAAACAAATCTACTTTAGACAATCTGGCAGAAGGGTTACAATTATTCAAGACTGCTTTTGATTTATTTTTAGAACACAAACCCTATGACACAGGCACTAAAATTAAAGCCAACAGTGGAAGAAGAATTGGTGCCATACTTAGAAACATTTTTAGAGAAATGAAAAAGCAAAAAAGTTGGACAGAAATTATGATTTCTGTAAAGTTACACTGAGTGTATCTGCCTCTCCTGCCTACCCTTTCATCTCCTCCACATCTTCTGCCTCTGCCACCCCTGAGACAGCAAGACCAATCACTCCTCTTTCCCTTCCTCAGCCTACTCAACATGAAGACAACAAGCGTAAAGATTTTTATGATGATCTACTTCTACTTAATGAATAGTAAATATACTTCCTCTTCCTGATAATTTTCTTAGTAACATTTTCTTTTCTCTTACTTTAAGAATACAGTATATAACATATATAACATATAAAAATATGTGTTAACTCTTTATGTTATTGGTGAGGTTTCTGGTCAACAGTATGCTATTATTAGTTGGGGAAGAGTCAAAAGTTACATGATTTTCAGCTACACAGGGGGTTGGTGCCCCTAAACCTGCCATTGTTCAAGGGTCAACTGTACATACGCTTCCAACTAATTATTTCTCCAGAGTCTCTAAAATCTAATTTGTTAAATCTGATCATCAGAAAACATCATTTAATCTAATTCTTCACTGAATGCCTTTACTAAAATTTAATATTAAGTTCTCAACTTTAAAGGCTGATAAAAATTTCTAATAGAACAGTGTCTTTTACTGATCCTATTAAATAATTAACCTACTTAAATTCAGAAATTAGAGAGTGATTCAGTTAGCTTGGTGCTTACTTTTTATCAAAGATAT